GAGCGGTTCTCAACCAGGAAGGCCACTGCATTCAAAGTGGAGGCATTGCAGCTCTGAACAGGCTGAGAACTGCTGCTTGGAGGGAAATGGATCCCGACGGGCATTAACACGGCTCTGGCCAGGGCCCCTTGTGGCCCACTTACCTCGAACCCAAAGACCAGCTGCACCGAGGCCCCTCGGGTGAGGATGCTGTGGTAGGCATGGCTGACAAAAAGAAAATCTAGAACGCCCAGCAAGAGCATGAGAGCTGCAGGGGTGAGGAAGGGAAGAGAGAGATCAGACCTCGGGGCAGAGCTGCAGCAGGTTACATCTCAGCACGCTTGGCCTGGCATATGCAAACCAGCTGCCCAAATTATCCTTCCTGTGCAGCTGCCGGAGAGAGGAAGGGGGTACAACTGTCTAGCAAGGGGGGAGGGGGAGGTTTACACCCCCCACCCCAGTCCTACAGTGCTGTGTGCAGAGCCAGCATGGCCCCCCCGACACATGGGACTGGGGGAGACTTTCACGTCCCAGCCCCACCTAGCACTTGCTGCAGAGTTCACTTTCTGTATTAACTAGGCCAGCAGGCATCTGACAGAGCTGGTGGGGGGTGCAAATCACAGCCTTAAAGGAACCCACAACCCCTCCTGCCCGTGGCCCACTCCCGGACTCTCCCCTAAAGCAGCCAGCATCTGCTGCACAGACCCCACCTCTGTTATTCTTCCCTTCAGCTATGTACATCGACCCCCCAGTTCTACTGATGCCTTTCTGTCCCGATTCCAGCCCCACGCCAGCTACCTCAGCCTTGCAGTCCCCTGATGCCATTCTACCGTGACCCACAGAGCTTATTTTCATCCTGGGTTTTCCTGCACTGCCAGTGTCCTTCAGTCCTACTCCACAGCCCAGCTGCTATTCTAGCCTCAGGCTCCAGACACCTCCAACTGCTGCTCTGCTGGGACCCCTCCATCCTGACCCATGGAGTCCCGCTCTCCTGGCTCTGCATATCCCTTCTACACACACACCTCCATCTGTGCCACTGAAACCTGCTCTTCCTGTCCCACACCCCCAGCTCCCAGCCTCCGCCACTGGAGACAGGGCCCAGCCCCAATGCTGCCTAGCCATGCCACAGTTATGGATGCATAGGCCAGGGAAGGGGAGAGAATAAAGACACTTACAGGCAATACGGAAATGAAAGAGCCAGGAGATGTTGGGGCTCCGCTCCATCTGGAAAGAGGGATCGACAAGCAGTTATAAGACCTTTGCTGCCATCTCCCAGGCTCTATTTCATCCCCTTTGAGATAGCCAGGAACCCCAGATTGTTCTGCACAAGAGCACAGGGAAAAGTGAGTCTGGAGAAAAGCAGGCGGGGGGCAGCTGTGTGCTGTCTTTCTGTCCCCTGCAGGGGGGTGTGGTGTCTATGGAGGATGGAGACAGATTTTTTTTGGTGGTTGCCAGGGGCAGGAAAAGAACAAGGGGCTCAGGAAGCAGGGGAAACCGAGGCTGGAGATGAGCAGCTCAGAAAAGCCTCGGTGCTGGGATAAGTGCTGGGCTGGATCAGACAGGGCTGGTATGACCCCTGAAGGCCCTACCAGCCCGGCTTGGCGGTGATTCAATAGGTCACCATCACGGGATCACAGGAAAGTCAGGCTGGAAAGGACCTCATAAGGTCATCTAGTTCAGCCCTCTTCTCTCCCCTCTAAGCCTCCACACCAGTCCCATCAGCCCAGTATCTGGCTGTTCCTCCCAGGTTTCTACTCCATCAAGGGTTCCAAATCCCTCAGCTCCCCTCCCAAACCCACTCCTTGCATATTCACAGCTGGGCATTGGCCAGCAGAGTCAGGTGTCCTGGAGCCCAGCTGGCTTGGCCAGGAGAACAATTCCCAGAGTAGATGAGAACAAAAAATCCTGCCACCCACAGGCACAAACTTCAGGTGCACAGCTGACACAGAGACCACAAAGCACCATGGCAAGCATCTCCTGCACCCTGGAGGGCTGTAGAAAAACCTCCAAGAGTCCCACCCCCACAGCTGGCAGGTTCCCTGGACACGGCTCAGCCCTGGGGGGCCATGCACTTACAAAGTCCACCCGGTCCTCAGCCAGCCAGTGGAAGCACTTGAGGAAGAGGAGGAGGGTGAAGAGGGCCACGAAGCGGGGGCTGAAGTCATCTCTGAAGACGGTGAAGGCCAGGCAGGTCTCTGTGACGGCATACCATGACCGCTCCAGGAGATGCTGAGGGGGAGGGAGAGGAGTCATCAAGGCTGACTACTCGTCTGTCCCACACCGACAGCTCAGTATTACTATATTCTCTCATACATAACACACTTTCCCTCCTCAAACCAGCTGTTTGGAATTGGAATGTGCATATTATGTGAGAAATATGGTAAGAGTGGATTCAACCACTTGCCAGGGAAAACCAGAAGTAAAATCTGCAAGATCCACAGGGAACAGAACAATGCACAGGCTAGATGCCCTTGCTGCTGCTACTCTGTTACCACAAGGAAAGATCATATCTTTCATACTGCCTTTCAGCAACAAATGCATTGCATATTCTGGAACATGTATACGCACGGAAATATGGTAGCACTTTGTACTGCAGGGGGTAGAGGGAGTTTCCCAAAGGGAAACTGAGGCACAAGCTAAAACAGGCCCAGAGCCTTGGGGTGTAACAGCGAAGGGAAAGCAAAGGATCAGACCCCAGCATTCCCAACTCCCTGCTGCATATATGGGGCTCCGGACACCTGGGTTCCATCCCCCACTCTGCCCTAGTCTCCGTCTTGGACATTGTGTATGTCACTTGACTGCTTTGTGCCTCAGTTTCCCCACATAGCACCAGGAATCAAAGCCCTGAAGCCAAGGGATGCCCTTCATGCCCTGCAGACAGGATGGTAGCACAGGGATCATTGATAGACAGGTATGATTTCAGCCTCCCGCAGCAGCTACCAATGGATATGACCTAGCCCTCAGACACGGCACTGGCGCCCCACTCACCTCCATCTCTGCGGCTCGCAGCTGCCCGAAAAACACTTTACCCATGAATTTGCCCAGGAGGAAAACCAGGACGAATGCCTGGATATAGAGGACCTTTAAGGAAGGAGAAGCAGAAGGGAAAAACACGGTCAGGCAGGCACAACCCAGACTGGACGACATGAGCCAGCGGTGGGGGGGTGATCCAGGCAGGCTGGCTGGGACTAGACAAGAGCCCAGAAACCCTCCAGCACAAGAGGGACCCCCACCTCTGCATCCACTCCCACCCCATGCTGACTCCTCCGTGCCCAGAACCGCCGGGAACTCTTTCCTGGCTGACCTCCACCCTTCAAGGAACCATGCCGCCTTCCTTTACCCTCCCAGGAGATCTGCACAGGCTGAAGGTTCTCTGGCCTCATAGATGCAAAGCCTTAGGTCGCAAGGAGGCATCTGTGAGATGCAAGGCTTTCTAGACGGCTCAGGGCCAGGCGCATTCAGCTTCCGCCAGCTTTCCCAATTTAGCCGGCACTTTGCAAGCCAGATGTGGACTCGGGGTGGTGGCAGGGAGGCTGATGCAAACACTTCCCCCTGCCCCCGCAAGCCGTCGCAGTGGTTGCAGTGGCCGCTGCAGCACGGAAGCGTTTGTTTCGGTCCCCGCGCTCACCCAGGGAATGGAAAGCAGAAGTAAAGCCCCCGGCCCAAAAAAGCTACCCAGTTATATTTGCAAAGAAGAACAGTGACCTGAATGGGAGAGTAGGAGCTTAGGGTGAAGACTGACCTCTCCAAGAAGTCAACCCCTCAACGGCTTGCGGTAACCGGCCTTTTAGCTGGAAGCCTCAGAGACTGGTTATGGAGAAAGAATCTAGTCCAACCCAGGGCCAGAGGCCAGGAGCAGGGTAACACAGGCTGCTTCCCCTACTGCTGGGAGCACTGAACCTACACCATGTGTGTAACCCGTCTCTGGAGGGGACGCATTTATGTGGCTGTGGTGACTCAGTTTCCCCAACAGTATCTCAGTTACACACATAAGCCACATTAGGGGGCAAGGAGGAATTTCATCCCGCAGTCAGACTGGTATAGACTGGAGTGGGGGAGAGATTTGCCTGGGATCCCCCGAGTGCATTTTAACAACCTTCACAGCAGCTGGACACTGGCTACTGTTGCCCCACTGCTTTACCTGGGGCCAGTTCAGGCGTGACAGGGCTGACTGCGTAGGAAGAGGTTAAAGGAGGACTTGTCTGGGGTGATTTGGATGGGGATGAGGGGAGGCAGGGGGTTGGACTGGATGACTTTAGAGATCCCTTTTGGCCCTTCTCTATGATTCTCGGAGCCTCCAGGGCTAATGATCTAGTGTAGAGTCAGCTACATATGGTTTGTGGGCTGGATTTGGCCCACGGAGCCATTCGTTCTGGCTTGGAGAGTGAGGGGGGCTTTGCCTAGGCTGTGGCTGGGTCCTGGAGGGAGACTTGTGTGTGTCGAGCTGGATTGGCCTGACCAACCGCTCCAAATCCTTGCTGGCCATCAATGCAATGTCTCCTCAACATGCTACCCCTGCTCTGCTCATGTCAAAGAGCAACTAAGCAGCAGCCAGCCCATCACCTGCCTCAGTCAGTCCTAGGGGCTTTGGGGACCCTCTATTAAATTTGGGCTCTCCTCAGTGCCAGGCACACGGCAGGTCCAGCCCGCTCAGCTGTTAACTGTATTTGGGAATAGCTGACAGGATTCATGCAAGCTCAGTGCTAGGGTGGAATGGGCTGGTGATGGGAGAGTCTGGGCTCCCGCTCCTCTATCAGGGCAAGCGACCTCCTATCAGAGGAGGAAACCCCAACCCCCTGGGTCTCTCTGCAGTAAGGGGGGGCAACGAAATGAGGCCATAATGTCCTATAAAGGAGGCAGAGGCCAAATGAATTTGCAGCCAGAGAGGGCCGAGCCGTTGCTGAACAGGGGGAGGTCAAAGAGGGACCTTCTCCCAGTCCTATGGAGCAGGGTTGTGTCCAAGCAGACAGATACCAATGCTCAAGAAAGAGGTAGCCAGAAGCTATTGTATTCCCTTCTCCACCCACTCCTCGGCTGTGGGGCCAGGGCCTGATACTCACTGCCATGCTGGGGCTAGACTTGGTCAGGTAGACGACGGTAGGATAGAACTGGTGCTTCAGGTAATAAGCGTGAGCTACCACAGCCGTGGTGAGGGCCAGGCTGGAAGCCATCATGATCACCGTCCGGAACATCGCCTCCGCCGCCCGCGGCGCCCTACGGGAAAGACGACAGCCGTAAATGCGGGGCTGGGGGACACACCGAGAAGTGACACGGAGCAGAGACAAAGGAGTCACCAAATTTGCATTGCAAGGGGCCGATGCATCCTCCAGCCGTTGTGCCACTTCCCCTCCTCCCCATGCCTTTGTTTCCCAGCAGGCCTAGTCCAACTCACAGCAAAGCAGCCAGCAGGCTCCCAGAGGGAGCCAAGCCCCGAGGGATTCCCCCAGTGATCCCACGGCCACCTCTGGGATGGGATGGGGATGCAGCCAACTGCCTGATGTTCCGTCTTGCCGAGTCTCCTGTGTCAGATGGTGGCAGAGAGCAGATGCTGAAAGGGAGAATGAACTGGGTCTGACCACAGTTTTTCCCCCTGTTCCTCTCTCACTTCCAGCCTCCAGCATTTAAGGTCTGGGAAGTTCTGATTCAGAGGCTGCATCCCAAACTCCCGTGCTCAATAGCTACCAATGCCCCTTTCCTCCAAACGTGTCCAATTCCTTTGTGAATCTGGCTCAACTCTCAGCTTCCACCACATCTGGTGGCAACGAGTTCCATGCTTTAATTCCACGTTGGGCGAGAAAGAACTTCTTTATGTTAGTTTTAAACCCACTCCCTACTACTTTCACGTGGTGATCCCTAGTTCTTGTCTGGTGAAAGGCAGTCAATAATAAAAAACGATTGACTTTCTGTTCTATATTTAGTATTTTGTAAGCCCTTCTTATATCTCCCCTCAAGTGTCCCTGAAGTGAGATGGCCTGTCCCTATCCATATATCTGTCCCACCCTCCATCCATCCCTCCCTCTCATTAGCCTCTTTCGTCTCTCCTCCTACGGAAGCCACTGATCAGCCTTGTTGCCTTTTTTTGGACATTCTCTAGTTCTTTTCTATCCTTTTGGAGGGGTGGGGACCAGAACTGGGCAGAACCGTATTTATTATCATGCCACCCTCCCTTTTTCCCCAGAAGTACTAGGATTTCGATTTATATCCCACCGTCTCCAGAAAGACTCCGACGAGCGACAAACAAACTCCCTGATAGGCAACAACAGTCCACCCAGTGGACATGCACCAACACCTCAGTGCTCTCAAACGGGCACCACTTCCTTATAGTGTCTTGCAAGACTTATTTTCTATTCTCGCCCACTCGCTTTTTAAGTATCTTGATGACATAACACCTGGGTCTGGTCTAACTGATATTACACCGTTGCAAATCCAGGCAGCTCAATGAGTTTTGTTTACATTGGACTGAGAGATTTATTATTGAAATAAATCAGGTTTCTTATAAGATGATATAATATTCTAATAATAATAGCAATAACGATAACAGTAATGACAAGAGCAATAAAGATGATGATAATCACAATAACGATGATAACTGATAATAGGAATAATGATGACGATGATTGTAGGCCTCACTAGAACAGCAATCAATATACATTTACTGCGCGCACAAAGGCTTCACTAAAGCACTGACCAGAGTAGGCTTCACCTGCAAACCTGACTAATGCACAAACTCCTTACATGAGTATGCCCATGCGAGCAAATGGGCATGGTGCTGTGCCAACTACCTTGACACGGGTACAAATGCCTTAACTCCTGGTCTGATGGACCTGTCAGGCCAAAAAGTGTTAGGGCCGTGCCTGTAAACAATAATAAACTCGGCTGAATCTTTGCCACCGAACCGAGCCTGTGGTCAAGTCGTTCTTTAAAATAAGATTTGTGTTAGGCTCTCCTGGTTGCCACCTTTGCTGGCACTGCGGTTCCTGTGACTTCAACACTAATAACACATCAATAACACCTTACGAGGACAACAGCAACGACAACACTAATAACACCTGACAACAATGGTAACGATAAAAGCAATGATGATGATGAGAACAGCAATGACGATAATCATGATGATGATCCTAATAACTAGAGTAATAGCAATAATAACAATAATTATGATGATAAAATGATAATTGTGATAATGATGACTGATAACTATAATAGCAATAACTAGGATGATAATAGCAATAATGGTGATGATAACAGTAAGTGGTAATAATAATCACGATCATGGTAATGATAATCTTGATAATGACGATAACTATAATACCAATAATTACTAAAATAATAATAGCGATAACGATAATCATAACAAAACAATATAATAATTATTGGTGGTGCTGCTGCTGTATTATTACTACTACTATTATTACTATTATCCACATCTCTGCTTCCAACATTTTACTTTCAGGTAACTGTGCCTTGTATTAGCTGCTATAAGGATAAACCTCACAGAGACTATCTGCAGGCAGCCTTTTATGGGACCCCCTGCACAGCTGGGATAAAGTTAGACCAGTTTTCAAAGGCAAGGAAGGCATCCTTCAGTTAAAGTTAGACCAGTTCTTGAAGACGAGGCATCCTTCAGCTGGTCTCTGGTTTCAGCCAGTGGTTCTCAAGCCAGGGAGCCACAAGACCTTCTTCAGGGAGGCCCCTGCAAAGTTAGGAGTGCAAACACCTACAGGGGACTCACCAGAGAGACCCAGAGACTTCTGCTAGGAATCCAGAGCACCCAACCCCTCCTGCCCTGGTGTGCTCCCAGGCCTTTGCATCAAAAGAACTGCCCTAGGATTTTTCCATAGTCAAAAAAGAGAGTGAGCCTGAAGTGCTGCCAAAGTGCTTTCCCAGCCTGCTTTCCCAGCCTGCCCCAATTAGCTGAAGGCGACTTTAATAGCCGAAGCACGCCCCTCCTTGCAAGGAGCTTAGAGGAGAAATGCTGACGCCAGACCCATTCAGGGATCAGTGGCGGGCCAGTCCGATAACTAAGTTTCTCCCCTGCCCTGAGCCAACTGGCTTCTGTCCCTGAAGCGTAGACCCGTGCGGCCAGACATAGACTCCAGGGCTCGCCTCATGGAAGGGAGCCGCGCTGTGCAGAGCAGTAGAGGATCGTGCCTGCCCTGGATAGGGTCTGATCTAGAGACCGCAGGGGACGGGGAAGAGACCTGTGTCAGGGAGGATCTTTCAAACCGTGTAGATCCCAGGGCAGATGGGAACTCCCCCCAACCCCTGGTTATTAGCAAGCTACAGCAAAGAGCAGCGGCTTTCTTCCTGCATGCTGGGGAGAAGCAATGAAGACACAGGACAGTTGAGGCTGCCCTCTTCCCCTCACAAGCACACAGCACCTTTCCTCCCTCCACTGTAGGGTGCCTCCGCCCCCGCTGTCCTTCATTCCAGTCTGAGATAAAGGAAAGACATTCACTAGTGGCGGGTGGCAGGAGTTTTTCTATCCCTGCCAGGGCTGCTCCAAGAAGGATGTCCTCTTTTGAACACATTAAGGGAGTTTTCTCCAGGGCCCAGATGGCTCCACATACAGACCCTGGGACACTCGCCCCCACCTCATGTTTTGGGGAAGACAGGATATGAGACCCCCGCCAAACTCAGCTACTTAGCCCCCCTCTCCCTACCCAGAACAGCCCAGGCCCTGCCAGCCAGCTAAATGCAGACTCTCTCCTCCTGTGATGCCCCACAATTACGTGCCCCCATCATGCCTACCCTCTTTACAGCACAGGACTCAGCCCCTCCTTGATTTCTCCCCTTCCAGCTGCCAGGCTGCCCCTACCTCGACATCCCCGTCTCTCCTCTCTCCTTCCCAGGCCTTGGCTTCCCAAGGCTCTTGCTCCAACAGGCTGCAAAAGTCTACAGCCCCCCCATATCCCCCCGGAGCTGAGACCTGATGCTCCTTCCCCAGACTTCAACCCCTCTCAGCACCAGTCCCCCAGACTCCCCCTGTTCTTCCCTACAAGTTTCCCCTGCTTTCCCCCAGGCACCCTGCACAGCACAGTCTCCTTCCCAGGCCTTGGCTTCCCAAGGCTCTTGCTCCAACAGGCTGCAAAAGTCTACAGCCCCCCCATATCCCCCCGGAGCTGAGACCTGATGCTCCTTCCCCAGACTTCAACCCCTCTCAGCACCAGTCCCCCAGACTCCCCCTGTTCTTCCCTACAAGTTTCCCCTGCTTTCCCCCAGGCACCCTGCACAGCACAGCTGCCCTCCTGCTCCCAGTGCCCCTGTCACCGCCCCTGGCCCGTCCACTCCCAGCCCATGACGGACCCCCGGAGCCGCAGCGGGAAGGGAGCTCCGGGTCACGTCCAGTCCAACCGGGCAGGGGCCGGAGGCAGGATCGGCCCCATCCCAATCGTTCCAGGCAACTCCATCATCCAGCCCTTTCGCCGAGCTCCTGTCACAGCCCCTGCCTCTCCCAGGTGCCCGGGTCGTAGAGAAGTGGGGCTGGAAGGGAGCTCCAGAGGTCACAGCTAGTCCAGCCCCTGCCTGCGGCAGGATCAGCCCTGTCCAGACCGCCCGTAACCCAACCTGGTAGTACAAGGACGCCACAGCCCCTTGCCTTGCCTTGTCACGGTTCCCTGCCCCCTCAGTCCCCAGCCCTCCCCTTCCCAATTCCCCCAGTCCCTCCCCCATGTCACAGCCGCTCCCCTTCCCAGTCCTACCCTTCCCAGTGCCCCCCGCCCCCCAGGACTCACCCCAGGTCCAAGACCCCCCAACGCTCCTGCAGCCACCACCACCCACCGCTCCTCCCCCGCCGGAAGTACCGAAGCTCTGCGACACCTCACTTCCGCTTGGACGCTACCATCCGCGCCCGTCCCTGGCCGCCCAATTCGCCCCACCGGGAGGGGGGTGAGAGGAACTTTGCCTCCCCCCTCCTCGTCCCGCCCAGTGGTCTGGCCCAAGCGCCCCTCCGTCCCCTCCATTCAGAGCGGCGCGTGGCACAGTTCGGACTCCACCAACTCTCCTTCCCCCCTTCCCTCCGTTCGAGGGCCGAACCATTCCCCCCCACCCTACTCCGGATGGTTCAGCCCGAGCACCCACTTGGTAGCGCCCCCCCTCCGCCGCCGAAGGTTCGGCAGGATCCCGTGGCTCTCGCTCATTGGCTGTGCCTGGCCCGCCTCCTCCAATCAGAAAAAGATCCCCTGGGCTAGCCAATGAGGAGGGAGCCGCCGTTGCTAGGTCCTGAGGGGGCAGATTAGGCAGCTCTCCCGGCGCGTCATGAGTTGCGTGCGTCCTCAGTCCGGTCAGGCGCCACAGGCAACCTGCCTCGCCCTTCCCCAGCGGGCACGAGGAGCCTCCGCGAGGCAGGATGGCCCCTTCCAGACCCTGCCAGCAAAACCCCTCCGGATTTGGGGGGGCCACGTGGGGAGGTCTGTTGACAGCCGCCCCAGCAGCCAACGGCCACGAGGTGCCCGCCAGCCCCACCCTCGAGGGGGCGGGGGAAGAAATAAATCTCTTCTCATTGGCTCATCAGCCAGAAGCCCCGCCCCCCGCGGCTAGATGGACACGCTCCTCTCCGCGGTGGGCGTGAAGGGAGCGGCCCCTCCGCCGCTGATTGGTTGGGAGCCGGCGGGGCTGAGCCTATAGAAGACTTCGCTGGGGAAGGGGGCGGGGTAAGCTCGGTACCTCCCCCACCCCCTCGTGACCGGCGCTGCGCGCGAGCCGTTCGGGTGCTCTGCTCAGGTGAGGGGGGAGGGGGGAAAAGGCGGGAAAAGCGGTTGTCGGGGCGAGGACCGGCCTGCCCCTGTACCTCATCCGAGGTGTCTCATCTCATCTCGTCTCGTCTCGTCTCCCTCGCGCGCGCAGTGGTGGCCGGGCGGGCTGAGGGGCGGTAGGGATGCTCTTGCGGGTGTGAAGCGCCCCGTTTCCCACAGCGGCCCTTCACGCCATGATGCCCACCCCAAAGGATGTGTGTGAGGGAGGGAGGATGCCCTCAAGCAGCAAGCAGTGAGGGGTAGCGGTGCCCTCAGATGCGCCCCCCCCCCCCCCCCCCATAGGGCTGACAGCCTTAATAGAAGGGTGTTGGGGGTTTTTCGTTTTCCTCACGCTTTCCCCCGTTGTTCTGAAGGGGTAAATGAGCTGATGTCAAAGGCCATGGCAGGTGGGCCCCCCTCCCGCCCCTCCTTGGGTTCAGATGCAAAATGCCCCCCTGCCCTCGGCAGGGAAACGATGCCCGGGAGGGGGAAACGGGAGCCCAGTGGTTCCCCTGCAAAAAGATGGGGCGTGGATGCTGCTCTTGGTCTAAAACGGGGAAAAAAAATCCCCCCCCCCTTTTGTGGCTTTATTCTGCCTGCCATGAGGAGGAATCGCTTGTCAAAACCTGGGGCGTCAAGGGACTCCTGTAGTGACGGTGGGGGGGGTGTCCGATGTGGAGGAGAAAGCAGCAAAATCCCCTTGTATGTTATTTCCTTGCCTCCCCCTTGAGCGGACAACCCTTGCGGCTCTCCTCGCCCCTCCGTGGGGATCTCCTCGTCTTGACGTGGACGCGGCGGTGCCTCCAGCAAGGAAAGAAGAAACCCCGGGTGGGTTGGGTTGGGTTTTTCTTCCTTGGGCACGCCACAAAAAATTGTCCTGACATCCCAGGGCCCGAGAGTTTGAAACGCCCCGTTCTGGGGGAGCTGCTCGCTTCCGGCAGTAAATCTTAAATTAAGTTTTAAATAAGCTTAAGTCTGCCCGGTTTATGACCACCCGCGACTACATGGGGCTTTGTCTCGCTTGAGTTCTGCTCTTGCGTGACCACGGAGCAGCCCACGACACGGTAGTTGAGCTGAGGGCAAACCTTGCCCCGAACTAGCCGAGTTGCATTGGTGCTGACCCTTTTTGGGAGGCAGAGTTGAGTGGATAAAGTCTTCTGTGTGGTCAGATGCTACCAGGTATCAACTTGCTCCAACTCCCAGAAGACTTGAGCTGTGGGTCAAAGCTGCCTCGGTCTTGTGGGGTGTCGACCCGAGCTCCTCGCAGCCTGGGTCTGCGGCTTGTAGAGCTTTGGGCGCGCATCAGACCCTGGCAACGGATCTCTTTAAATTCATGGGCTGGGCTAATCCTTTAAGAAGGAAAGCCCTCCTCATATAGAGACCTTAATGTCCACTTGAAGATGAGCTTCCCTGTGCTTCCAGAGAGGCAGCACAGATCCTTCTTGCTGCCTTAATTAGATAAGCAGGTGGTGATTTTATTAACTACGCATCCTTCCTCGAAGAAGCTCACGTACACTGCGTGGTTGACTCTGGAAGGTCTGTCCTATTGTGAGCTAACCAGGTCTTGCTCTTGAAATAACTATTGCTTTTGTCCTTCCCTTTTTTGGGACGGGAACTATAATGAAGAGGTGAGTTTTGTCCCTTCTAATCTCTGATGCAATTTGGTTTAAAAGATCCTCTGAACTGTTAACATCCTCCCCTCCCCTCCCCCCTGACAAAAACAGCCTCCAGTTAAGTGTTCGGATGCTGGACCGTGCTCTGAATTCTGGTTTTGGATTTAACTTTGGGCTTTACTTTTTGCTGGGAAAAGGAACCATGCAATGCTTTTTTTCTTGGCAAAAGCAGTCAGAAGGGTGTTTTCTGGGGGGGGGAAGAAAGCAGTTGAAGGGAGGGCTTGTCTCTTGGTTTTTGGGTGGTTGGTTTGGGGTTTTTTATTTTGTTGGAGGAAAAAGAGTAAAACTCTATAAAATCCATCTTAACCAGGTAGATTTTACAGTATCTCCTGTAAGGCTGTGGGGTTCCTTCATAGTTGCAGGTGTGGCTCTTGTGTGAAGCAGTCTGAGGCCATTTCCTCCTGGTATGTCTAGTCAAATTCAAACTCCTCTTCCAAAATATAACTCCTTCCACTCGAAGTGTTCATGTGTGAGTATCCTATGAAATATGAACTTTTATTCCTACCCAGAACTTCTACAATCTTTCCTCTGATGCCTGATGAAGGGTGTTTGTGCCCGAAAGCTTCCAATTAAAGATTTATTTATTTTTTTTTACAGAAATCTTGTTGATCTAATAAAAGAGATCATCTCTGCTATGAGTCCTGATTGCTTTTTCCTTTAGACCAATACGGCTACAACCTAAATACCTGACAGTATCCTACGAATGCATTTCTGTAGTAGCAGGAGGCTGAGCCCTTGCAAAAGGACATCTGCTTTCCAGTATCTCTTTAATGATAACTTCATTTTTATTTATTGTTTGCTTACATGGTATTGTTGACACCTGCATCACTCTTCTTTTTAGTCGGTACATTAGCTCTTGATTTGCAAGATGGGCATCTGAAGACTGCTTTGAGTCAATGGGGACCTTTTCTTCCCCAATGAATAATGTTGAAAGGATTGGAAATCAGATTCTGTGTGCATGTGTTACAATCCTCATGGTGTCTTAATTACTTCTCCCCTCATTACTACTGGCTTACAAGTAATGGTACAGAAATCTCATGGGAAGAGAGTTCCAGCATGGGGTATAGGAAGGCTGTAGGTCAACAAATGCTAGTCTTGCCATTAATTTAATATTGAACGCGTGTAATTAACCTTGGACTTATTTAGCAGATGTGTGGATCCCTTTTGTTGTATTCTTTGTACATATCTGAATGACCAAAACTGTTGTGTGTGCATTTAACTAACAGATCAATGTTGAGCACCTGAACATTTCAGGAAAGACTGAAGACCTACTATAGAGTAGCAGGAGTTTTCTTTCTTTTTTTTTAAATCCCCAAGCTCTAGTGATCTTCCCCCTCTATGTGACTTTGGTCAGGCCGCAGTTGGAGTACTGCGCCCGTACTGGGCGCCACACTTCAAAAGGGATGTGGCCAGCCTGGAGAGGGTTCAGAGGAGGGCCACCCATTTGGTGAGAGGGCAGCAGGACAGGCCCTACGAGGAGAGACTGAGGGACCTGAACCTGGTCAGCCTCAGCAAGAGGAGGCTGAGGGGGGGCCTGGTGGCTGCCTACAAGCTCATCAGGGGAGATCAACAGCAAATAGGCAGAGCCCTCTTCTCCCCAGCACCACCTGGGGTGACAAGGAACAATGGTCATAAGCTGATGGAGAACAGGTTTAGGTTGGAGATCAGAAGGCAATATTTTACGGTTAGGGTGGCCAGAATCTGGAACCAACTTCCCAGGGAAGTGTTCCTCGCCCCTACCTTGGGCAAATTCAAGAGGAGGTTGGACGATCACCTGTCTGGGTTCTTGTGACCCCAGCATTCATTCCTGCCTGTGGCAGGGGGTCAGGCTAGATGATCTGATCAGGTCTCTCCTGACCCTAGCTACTATGAAACTAGTTTTAGATCATGGTGAGATGGAACGCACCATGGCACTGTGGGCAAAGCTGGCATGGTTAAATGAGGACACTGGGAGAGTTGGGGACCGATCTAAAGAGTGCCAGTTAATACTGTACTGGGCTCTAGCATTGGAGTAGGGGGGAAGAGTACATAATGTGCAGTAACTTGGAGGGATCAGCAGGGGGAGCATCCTTTTTCTTGGCTGCTGGCATGCTCACAACTAACAGGGGCCATGGACTTGAGATACCCTAGCTGCTCTGTGGTAATTGTTGCTGCATCCACTCTTGCCCTACTGAATAAAACTGGGTCTTATTGTCCCTAATTGTGGGAACAGCTGAGTTCTGATTAGTTCCCTTCTCTAATTAAGCTAACTGCAGCCTGGGAGGAATTGGGGATTATGCGCACTTGCAACCTTGAGCTTGGCAACAGCTGTTCTCGAGTGATCTTTCTCTTCCCATGCACGGAGTTAGTCAAGATAATGGCGTAAAAAGTAAAGAAGAATAAATGTGGGGTCCTCTTTTTGCAGAAAAGCCCCTCTGAGCATCTGCCAACATCAGCACAAACATGAGGCATAATCGAAGCATCTCCCGTGTCTCTCCTGTGGTCACCACTGGGGTGAAGCCAGGGAACACGAGACCGTATCACGCTGCCACCAAGGGCATCGGAGCGCGTAGCAGAACGCGAATCCCTGAGAGAGGGCACTCTGTAGCGGTGCCAAAAAGCACGCAGCGACCTCCGTTCCATCTCCACCAAGAAGAACAGGAGGCTTTCTTCAACCTTCTGGGTAGGAGGCAAGAGCAGTCACCCAGGTTGTACAGCCTGGAAAAAGGATGGCACTAAACCTCATCTTGTCTAGGGAAGGGGCTTCCTGTGTTGGATACAACTGTGGTGATAAAGTTGGCAGGACAACTGGGGTGGAGCTTCAGGGAAGAAATGACTTGAGCTTTGTTGCTAAACTGCTGCTTCCTTTTAATCTTCTTAATTGAGGAGGGGAATGGAGGGAGGGAGACAATGGGGTGCTGCGAGGCATAGCTCCTGTATCTGCCTTTCACCATGTGTCATGGCTTAAACTCAAATACTTGCAAGAACAGCTTCTAACTTGGTCGAGTATAAATACCTGTTGCTTGACTCTGCAAAGTGCTGAATGTTCTTAAAATATCTTGAATTAGAGGCCACTTTTAAGCCTTGTCTTTCTCCAGACTTCCCTCCAGCCAAATTAGTCACATTGGAAGGCTACCGTTGCTGCAGTGTCCTGAGAGCTTTGCCCAAAGTATTGGAAGGAGCAAGTGTTTACAGTTTGGCTCCAAAAACTGGAAGGGAGCGAGAGAAACTTGTACCTCTACAATGAGAGTCCGGCACTGCTAGTTGCTAGACCTCTCCCAGCCTTAATTAGGAAAGCAAGTGGCCTTGGTGAACATCTCTGGTTTGAGAAGTGGGACTCTGTTCTAAAAAAGAGCAGAAAGTGCTCCCCTGAGGATGTTTTTCTAGAGGCGGTGGGGTGTTCGGGGGAAGTGGAGCAAGAATTCTGAAAGCAGTGCCCTGGGGGCAGGGGGCTGAATGAGACACACTGCAACTGCCCTGCTCTTTCTTTCCAGAGGATGACTTGGTACAAGAGTTCTTGTCAATGGACATATGCTACAAGATTTCAGATAAGGTATGTCCCATGTGCTCCCACTTCCCTCCAGTGAGCTTTGAGCAGTGATGCCCAGTGGTTTCAAGATTTCTCCAATTCTTTTCTGTTCCTTGTATATACAAAACTCCAATTCTTTAACTAATCACGAGTGGTGATGAGGGCCAGGTCTTGACACTGAAGACTGTAGTTGTTGTATTGATTCCACTTCTGTAGGCACTTGCCATAACTGCTGCTTTTTAAGCTGAGACAAAGCATGGGAGGGAGGATGGGGTGGGGGGACTGCACATGTTGGGAATGAGCTTAGAAGAAAGACTGCAACAAGGCTGGTGGTAGTCACAGATGCCTTCGGATGTCCTGCTCAAGGTGAACCGCAGTCCTGAGTTACTGCAGCCTGATAAATCAACCTCTACAAAACTTCTCCTGACTCGGCTTCTTTTTAATGGGTTTTTAAACTGTTGTAATCCAAAACTGTCTGTTAACCGTACTTACCTTGTTTTTTAGTATCTTCTAGCCATGGCACTGACATACTTCAAGCGTGCTGGCCTGTGCACTACTGAATACACCCGGATGAACCTTTTCACAGCTCTGTAAGTACTTTTCTGGTGATCTGGTCTGTGAAATTCCTTCTGTAACTAGTTTAGAAGATGGCAGAAGAGAAGACCTATTGGTTCACATCAACTCTGCCATCAACTGGCTGGGCAACTAGGAGGAACAGCGACTAGGAGTGTAGGTGACTACCAGTGTTCAAAATGCTAGCTTTGCCATAAACTTAACATTGCAGGCTGGTTCTTGCACTTGCAGTCTCTGCTCCTGCAAAAAAAAGTCCATGTCATGATGGGCACTTAAACACGACTGACTTTAGTTACAAAAAGCACCTATGATGAAGGCTCTCAGCACTTGAGACTTGAACAAAAGTGACACAATATTGATGCTGTGCTGGAAGGTACCGAACTATTCCAGGTACTGGCTGTTTTTGTGAAGGAATGGCAAGTTTATTTGGGGGATATTGCTTGATGCAGGTACCTAGCTAATGACATGGAGGAAGACGAAGAGGATTACAAGTATGAGATCTTTCCCTGGGCTCTGGGTGACAACTGGAGGCAGCTGTTCCCACAGTTCCTGAAACTGAGGGACAACTTCTGGGCGAAGATGAACTACAGAGCCGTGGTCAGTCGGCGCTGCTGCGATGAGGTTGGCCTTGGTGATTTGTGGGCTCTTGGGGACACTGGGACCAGGTCTTGCATCTAAATAATTGCTAGAATCAATGATTTATGTGAAGCAATCCCTAAAGAGGTCCAAGGACTAGAGTGCCCACGGCAGGAGATCTTGCACCCAGGATGGGGTGGGGGTGGGGTGGGGAGGCTTTTATTTTATCTATAGAAGTACAAGAGAAGCCAAAGCAAGTTGCTGTAAACTATACACTGGTTCACTGGCATGTTATCCGTCAGGCAATATTAACAAGAGCAGCTACATACAGCAGAGAATACACAGGCATACTTATTACCAGGTGGAGAGATCTCTGGGCCCTCAGAATCAGACCTCAGGGTTTGAGGCAAGATCCAGACTCCCATGCTTCTGCCTCTGTGTGGGGGAGTTTTATACAGTTCAGGTTCAGATTTCTGTACTTCCACCCATTCCTCTGAACTGGCCAAGAGATCCTTATTTCAGTAGGGAGCAGGGAATTCAGTCAAGGCCTGCGACCATTGTTCTTTTCTAGGGTTGCCCTATTAGCACAGGGTGTGATCACTGGCCTGTACATCTCAAATCCCTTGAAACTGTCCCTCACCATCCACCTTCTCCCTAGTCAAAGAGAATGAGGGTTGGAAGGGACCTCAGGAAGTCGCATCTAATCCAGCCCCCTGCTGAAAGCAGGACCAGCCCCAACTACATCATCCCAGCCAACACCATCTAGCTGGGTGTTAAAAACCTCCAAGGATGGAGATTTCCATAGCCTCTCTGGGTAGTCTGTTCTAGTGCTTTACTGCCCTCCTTGTGAGGTTTTTTTTTCCTAATATCAACTTCCCTTGCTGCAGCCTGAGCCCATTGCTCCTTGTTCTGTCATCTGCCACCACTAAGAACAGTCCAGCTCCAACCTCTTTGGAGCCACCCTGCAGGGAGCTGAAGGCCACTGTTCAATCCCCCTCAGTCTTCTCTTCTGCAGACTAAACAAGCCCAGTTCCCTCAGCCTCTCCTCACAAGCCATGTCCCCCAGCTGCCCAACCACTTTTGTTGCCCTCCACTGGACTTTCTCCAAATTGTCCACGTTCTTTCTGTGGTGGGGGGGCCCAAGACTGGACACCATACTCCAGATGTGGCCTCCCCAGTGCCAAATAGAGGAGACTAATCGCTTCCCTGGATCTGCTGGCAATGCTCCTACTGATGCAGCCCAGGATGCCCTTAACCTTCTACACAGCAAGGACACGCTGGCTTGTATTCAGCTGCTTGTCCACTGTAACCCCCAGGTCCTTTTCTGCGGAGCTGCTGCTTAGCCAGTCAGCCTCCAGCCTGTACCAGTGCATGGGGTTCTTCTGTCCTAAGTGCAGGACTTTGCACTGGTCCTTATTGAACTTCATGAGATTTCTTTTGGTCCAATCCTCCAATTTGTCAATGCCTCTCTGAATCCTAGCCCTTGCTTCCAGCATGGTGTCATCTGCAAACTTGCTGAGGGTGCACTCTATTCCATCATCCAGGTCATTGATGAAAATACTGAGGTGTGGGGGGAGAACAGCCCCAGGACCGACCCCCTGGTTCACCCCACTTGATCCCAGCTGCCAACTAGACATTAAGCCATTGATCGCTCTCCTCTGAGCCTGATGGTCCAGCCAGTCTTCTATCCACCTTAAACCATTCATTCAGCCCATACTTCCCGAGCTTGCTTGCAAGAATGTTGCAGGAGATGGTACTGGAAGCCTTTCCAAAGTCAAGGTGTATCATGTCCACTGCTCTCCCGACATCTACAGAGCCAGTCATCTCATCATAAAAGGCAGTCGGGTTGGTCAGGCATGATTTGCCCCTGGTGAATCCATGCTGATTTCCTGATCACCTTCTCCAAGTGCTTAGAGAAGGACCTGATCCATGATTTTTCCAAGCACTGAGTTGAGGCTGACCAGTCTGTAGTTCCCTGAAGCCGCCTCCTTCCCTTTCTTAAAGTTTGGGCATTAGATTTGCCTTCCTTCAATCATGCGGGACCTCTCCCAATCACCATGAATTTTCAAATATGATGGCCAGTAGTTCTGCAATCACATTAACCAACTCCTTCAGCACCCTTGGGTGCATCCTGTCTGGCCCCATGGACCTATACACAGCCTGTTGGCTGCTCACTGCCACCCCAAACTGTGCCGCCCAGTGCAGTAGTTTGGGAGCTGACCTTCCTGTGAAGACAGGTGAAAAAGGCATGGAGCATGTCAGCCTTTTCCTCATTTATCACTAGGTTGCATTCAGTAAGAGACCCATGCTTTCCCTGATTCTTCCTCTTGTTGCCGACCCACTTGTAGAAACCCTTCTTGTTACCATGCACATCCCTTGCTAGCTGCAACTCCAGCTGTGCTTCAGCCTTCCTGTCTTCATCCCCAGATACCCGAGTGATGCTTTTATACTCCTCCCTAGTTGTTTGTCCAAGCTTCCATTTCTAATAAGTTTCCTTTCTTCAGTAAACTAAATGACAAAGTTCCCTGCTAAGCCAAGCTGGTCTTCTGCCACACTTGCTAGTCTTCCTGCACACTGGGATGGTTTGTTCCTGCACACTCAGTAAGACTTCTTTGAAGTCCAGCCAGCTCTCCTGGACTCCTCCTGTCCCCTTCAGACTGGCCTCCCAGGGGATCCTGCCCATTAGTTCCCTGAGCTTGTCAAAATCTGCTTTTTTCTGAAGTTCAGGGTCCTGACTCTGCTGCTCTCCATCCTTCCTTTCCTCAGGATCCTAAACTCGATAATCTCATGGTTGCTGCCGTCTACTACTACATTCCCCACCAGCATGGCCCCTAGTTGGCTGCTCCAGCACTTGCACCAGGAAGTTCCTGGATTGCCCGCGCACTGCTGTATTGCCCTCCCAGCAGATGTTCGGGGGACTAGAGTCCCCCATGAGAACCAGGGCCTATGACTAGGAAACTCCTGCTAGCTGTTTGAAGAAAGCCTCATCCACCTCCTCCTCCTGGTCTGGTGGTCTATAGCAGCCCCCTACCACGACATCACCCGTGTTGCTCTCCCCTCTGACCCTAATCCAGAGACTTTCAACAGGCCTGTCTCCAGGCTCATACTGGAGCTCTGAGCAATACATAAGAGAGCTGTACGAAAGTGCAACTCCTCCTCTTCTCCCCTGCCTGTCCTTCCTGAACAGTTTGTCCCCATCCATGACACTGCTCCAGTCATGTGAGCTCCCACCAAGTCTGTTATTCCAATCACGTCATGGAAGTCCTTGCACAGTCCCAGAACTAATTCCTCCTGCTTGTTTCCCAGGCTCTGTGCATTCATGTACAGATACCCGAGGTAAGTAGCTGATCACCCTTCATTGTCTGGAAGAATGAGAGCCTCCCCTGTTTGTGCTTCCTCCAGATTGCCCACTTCCCTCAGGGCTTTGGTCTCCATCACCCAGCTAACCCAGTTTGAACTGTTGCGATTCAGACTGACTTGCTTCTGTGATCAGAGTATCTGGGAGGAGGAATGCTGTGACATCCACCCAGCACAGCAAAAAGGGGTGTGGGGTGTTCAGAACTCCCCAACACTAGAACATTGAAGGTAATGACTGTCCAGATGAAATCTTGGTTCAGTCTTTCAAACAGGCTTGACCTTCATCCTCCATAAATGTCTTCCCTGGTGATATTTATTAGCAGGTGCTGCTTTAGCCTTTTTTATGTTCCCATCCAATCATTTCCACCTACATCTCTGTGGATGGGTTAACATTGTTAGTGTTGTCCTCATGGTCTTTGAACCCCCATACATTAAAACACTGCAGGGCCCTATTGTATCTGGTCTAGTGCATAAACTCCCTGTAGTAGAATTTCAAGCAGAGAGACTTGGTAACAACAAAGTGGGTTTACCTAGCTGTACCCTGTCCTGCTCTCTCGGCTAGATAATGTCCAAAGAGCCTTCCCACTGGGCCTGGTTGCGCGAACGACCCTTCCACCATAGCGGGGCAATGAGGAGTTACCTGAGGAACGAAAAGGACTTGTTTCCCCGGGGACCAGGTGTCACCCCTCCAAGCTGCCCCCTCTGCACTTGTGAGCTGAATGAAGAGCAAAGCAGCCCCGAAAGCACACCTCCTGCTGCCGCCACGACCCTGTCAGAGAGCAGCCTGCTCCCCTTTGCTAGCGAGTGGTCTCAGGACTTGATCCTTTCTCAGAAAGTGGTGCTGGATCCTTATAGCCTGCGGAGTAAGTATATGGAGAAGCTGCTGATCTGGGAGTGCTCTGACTGAGAGAGCGAAGTTTGCTGTCCCCAGCAAGGTGTGTTCCTTGCCAGTGGCAGAGCCACTGCAGGAGCATCATGCCCCATTAAGCGCATCCAACTAGTTGAGACAAATTACAGTGTCGGAGAGAGCTAGACTTAGTCTTGAACTAATCCTCAAGTTGGTGCTCAACCTTTCGGCCCCATGGGTCAGATCGGTGGAGCAGGGCTGCTTCTTGGATGCTTGAGCCCCACATACCAGGATTGCGCCTTGATACTGCCCCCTCTGTCCTGAGTATCAGGAATGGGCCTTATCGCCTGGCACTGCCCCCTCCTGCTCCTGCACACGGGGTTTGGGTCCTAGGGGTGCAGCACTACCTTGTGCACTGGGATTGGTCCCTGGGATGCTGGTGGCACCCCCTCCTACCACAGTGTGTCCATGGGGTCATGGAACTACCCCCTTCCTGCCCCAGTGTTCTGGGATTTGAGTCCCAGGGTCCTAATGCCACCCCTTCCCCTGGAATTGGGCCCAGTACCATCCTTGCCCATCCCTGTGCACTGGGATTGGATACCAAATCCAGTACATGGGAGAGTGGGGCTCCCCATGGGTCCAGAAACTTAATAGGGGAGCTGTGCCACTGCTTTCCTGCTGCCAAATTCCCAGGCCTGTGGGGAGCCCTGCAGGCTAAATGACATGGGCCCACAGGCCAGGAGCTGAGCATCCCCGGCTCTTGGCTGTGAATAACTGGCTCTCCTACGAGAACCTGAGCAGTCTCCTTATAGCAGCCGCGTAAAGAGCCGTTCTGGGTCCTTGCTAGCGTCCTGCTACTGCCCTCAGCTCCTCATGGCCTACAAATGGAAGGAGTAGCGCAGATGGCGCTGCCTCCAGAGTCGGGGCTGCATTCAGTCCTGACGAGTGCAGCAAAGGAGCAAGGGGCTGGGGGTCTTGAGCAGAAATGCCCTGAGTCTGTACTTCTGGAATCCTGCTAGTTGTGCAAGATGCCAGAGTGCTCTGGCTCTTGGATGAATGTTGCGTAGTGGTGCTCATGTGTCTGCACAGTCTCATGAGACGAGGGCTTCGAGTCAGGGTACGTGCTACGTGCTAAACCTGTTGGGTTTCTTGGTGTGCAGTCCTGCAGGAGCCGGACGTCATCGTGGAACCTGACGGCAGCATCATGGATTGGCGAGCGGTGGGGTGACTGCTTCCTCCAGACCCACCCTCCTCTTCCTCCTGAGGAACCGCACGTGGCATTGAACTTTGTTTTTCCGTTCTGCTGTTCATGGAGCCAACTCCTTTCCCAAAGCACTTTATAGACTCATTCTGGCTGTGAACAGAAAGAAAAGAAAAGAAAAGAAAAAAAAAAAAAAAAAAAAAGGGGAATACTTCAGTATTTAAAAAAAAAAAAAAAAAAAAGAATTGTTGATGCAGCTGTTGAAACGTGCCTTATGTGTGATTGTGTAATTGTCAATGTAATCGCTGGACAGGCTCATAATAAAGGTGTCCAGGGAAGAAATAAGCTGCTAGTTTAGCTTCTGTTCCTGGAGAATTCTGGTTAATGAGTATCAAGCGGATCAGAGCTGGTGGAGCGTAGTGGTGGCTGACGGTGTCCAGGGTGGATTTGTTCTCACTTTTTGATGTGACAGTGGGGTGCAAAGAGAAGGTTTAGGGATGTGGGTTTCTTTTAAGGGTTGCTAGCAGGTTTCTTTGAGTTGAGAACTTTCTAGGATGCAAAGGGAGTTGAGCTGATCTCTTTGGGCACAGTAGCACCTGTCCACACACAAAAAGACTTGATGGGGCGGGGGAGGATACATTTGGGACTTCAGTAAGAACCACAACTACAGGCTGCTCACACCCATGCCAGCACACTTTTCTCTAGTCCCGGGGTCAATGCACAGTGTAATGGGGCTGTTCCAGGCACTTCTGATGGATTTGGGGAGAACCGCAAGGGTTAAGGGGAACTTGCCATGTCTGTTGGGACTAGGTGAATGCTCTCTGCCGCTGTTCATCTTTGATCCGTATCTGACGCAAGTAAAACAAAACCAAAAAAATCATGTGGAATCAAAGGCGCTTTTTTTTGGTCTCCTCCTTAACCTGGCAGCAGGTTCCCTCAATTCCCCTCAAAGAGCACTAGATAAAAGCAGCATCCTTGCCTGGGCTAGAGTGCATGGTGCTGTCCCAGGCTATGATGCTACTATCGCTGCTTGACAGAGGAAGGGTGGTTGGGTGGTGTCTAATATTTTTGTCCTCATTTAAAAATGCAAATTACAGCTGCTGACGAGGAGGCAGGGGCCTGGCCACTGTACTACCACTGGGCCCTTTGACTCCTTGTGCAGAAGGGTCTTCCTTCCCTGTGCCCTAGAGTGAGGAGCTCTCCTACACAAGGCCACTGCTGTCCCTCTGTAACCCTGTACGTCCTCCCTTCACCAAGAATACGATTCTGTTTCTAACCATCTGGACGTGTAGAGAATGGCTGTCCTGACTTTGGAGCCTTGAGTTCCTATAGCCTCAGAGCTTTTGGAGTGAGAACCAAGCCTTTAAAGCTTCCTGGTGAGGGGTTCTGGGTCATGATGCAGCCGTTTGGGGGTAGGTAAATGATCCATCCTGTACTGTATCCTTATAACGCACTGGCAGCATCGCTTCTTTCCTAGGGGGAAGAGCCTCTGCTTCGAATACCTGCTACCTGGAGCATGATGGGCAAAGCGAGCATAGGACTCAAGACTGGGCTCTAACCTCACGGTCTCCGTGATGCTGTTCTCAGCGAGATCTGCCGTCTCTTCCCCAGGCTCATGCTCATTCAGTCGCTGCTTTTCACAGCATCTTCTCCAGAGCCTGTTGGGTATTTTTTTCCTATTGCAACTCCTGGAGGCAGGGTACAAAACATTCCACTCTACGCTCTGTTGCAAAAAGTGGCTAATGCCGAACTAAACATGAGAACTGGCTCGTAGCAGGCAGGAGAGCTGTCAAGTGTCCAGGATGTGAAACACGTGTTTCTCTGGTTATGACAGTAGGTGGACAACAGTGATGGGGCAAAGCTTAATCTCTGTCCATCTAATGGCCTGCATGGCAGGAAGCTTGTTGCCAGGGGGTGGCTGGTTTGAAGCTCTGGAGCGAGTGGTGCTGAAAGCAGAAATCCACAGGTGAAGTCCAGATGACATCCCCTCTGTGCTAAACTCTAACCGGGCTCCTTTCCACACAGTCTCAACCATTTCATGAACTTGGTGAACCCATCTGTCGTCGTCTCTGGGTTCTGTGGGGATATCCCAGGTTTCTAGGCTTTGCTTGTTGCCCCTTCCCCTGCTTTCTACTCCACGTGAGGATGTTTTTAAGCTTCCCTCAGAGGCATTGGGTGGGGATTGATGAGAGCCACTTCCATGTAGTGATCCCTGGTTATGTCTCTGACGGCCAAGAGCTCCCAAATCAACAAAAATACCAAAGTGCATAAAGCTAAAGATACGGGACCATTTTTTGTCACACAAAAGAAGAGGAGGCGTTGGGTGTTGGCTGCAGCCCAGGCTGGGGAGAAGGTCTTGCCCCTCCACTCAGGGTCAGACTGCGTTCGGGAGGGGATTTCCACCCTGGTCAGACTGGTGTGGACTGGGGGGGCGGGTTCGCCTTCCTCTGTAGAAGGGGTCGTGGCCCTCTGCCTGGGGACTCTTGGGTGTCTACTGACATCCTCTACCAGAAGCAGGATGTTGGCTGCTGTGGTTCTCCTGCTTTCCCTGTACCAGGTTGGGGTGTTAGGTCTATCTTGTGCCAGGGTTGAGGATAGTCTTTTAGGTAGTTTAGATGATAGTTTCTGGGATGGTTTGGACAGGAATGATCTTGCCTGAGGCAGAGGGTTGGATTAGATGACCTCTGGAGGTCCCCCTCAGCCCCACTTCTCTCTGATTATAACAGAATAATGTTGTCAAGACAGTCTCTGTGCAACCACTCCAGCAACCTTGGGACTGTGCCGTGGTACAGACTTCTTCCCCCAGCCTCCCTTCTTAGGTGGTGGAGGATGGTCCTGCTCTGAGCAGGGGGTTGGCCTAGATGACCTTCTGAGGTCCCTTCCCACCCTCATTTTTTGGGATTCTTTTTATATTTGCCTTTTCCTTTATTTCTCCCACCTTCCCCTGACTCTCCCACAACAGTGCTTTCTTAGACTCGAGGCACCCCTCTGGAAAAAATGCCAGCTTTTAATTTTGTCAGGTGTCCAGGTTGTAGCTGTATTGGTCTAGAGGAAAAAGCAATCAGGACTCGTAGTAGAGATGATATCTTTTATTAGACCAACAAGATTTTTGCAAAAAAAAAATGTCTTTAATTGCAGGCTTTTGGGCACAAACACCCTTCATCAGGCCTCAGAGAAAAGGCTGTGAAAGTTCAAGGTAACTTGCATCATCACAGAACCTCACCAGAGGTGAGACTCCTCACCAGCTCTGAACTGACTGCCCAGAGGAGTTTCCATCTACCGACTCCTCTGTGAAATCCTATGAAATATGAACTTTCATTTCTCCCCAGGAGAACTTGCACAATCTTTTCTCCAATGCCTGATGAAGGGTGTTTGTGCCCGAAAACTTGCAATTAAAGATTTTTTTTAGCAAAAAATCTTGTTGGCCTAATAAAAGATGCCGCCTCTACTACGAGTCCTGATAGCTTCTAATTTTGTTTTTCTATAATAAAAAAAGCATTTTTCCTCTCTTTAGCAGAGAACTCAGTGCATTAGGTCAGATGATTTTTTTTTAATGCTTTGAGTTTCTACTGGAAATCTCTAAGGTTGTCTTGTGAAGCGTGCTTGTGCACCCCTGGAGGGATGTCTGTGATAGCCCAAAGGAGACCCATTTGCCACTACCCTGCAGTGTGTGCCTAGGCCAGTCTGAGAAGCAGAAACCAGAGGGTGCTGCTTTTCTGGGCTCCTGCTGCTCTGCCATGCCCCCAAAGCCCCAAGAAACCTCTGGACGCATTTTTTTTACTAAATTACTGTAATTATTCTTGTCCAGTGATTCCCCAGACTTGACTTTAATGTCCAAGCACCCCCTAGTGCCAGGGGCTGGGCACAGCATGGGAGTAGCACCACCTTTTGAGGAGTTTGGAGGATGGATTTTGGGGAGCTAATGGGGCAGTGTTTCTCTTTGCTAGTGGGTGCAGACCTAAAAGTGAGTCCTGAACTCCCTTCTGTGAAGCTGGGAGGGGAAGAAACTCTTCTCTAGGGGATAATCTAAAGGAGCATCTCCAGAGCTGCAGGGGATGTGGAGGGGTTATGTCAAAGATAACCGTATATGTCTCCTTTCTGTGGACAAAGAAAAGGGATAGGTCTAGGTCTGGGGCTGCGGTGGGCAGATGTGGCTCCAAGAGATCCAGGTGCCTCAGTGTAGGCAGACAGGGATGGAAGGGGGGAGGGGTCCCTAATGGGTGTTGTGGGGGAGGTCAGGGGTTGGGGCATGGCTGGATGGCAGCTGCATCCCTTCCTCTGACCTTGGGGTTGGTTTGCCTTTGCTGTTGGTGTGGCAAAGTGCCCAGCCTTTCTCTTTCTCTTTCTCCCCAGAGCTGCTGTTGCAATGCGGAGGAGAAACTGCAGGGAGGAGATTTGTAACCGGAGCTCTGAGATCCTGGAGTTATAAATACAAACTCAGCCCAAGCCACTGGCAGGCACCCACCACTCCCTAGGTGCAGTCGTTGGATAAAGGGGCTCACACATCTTCTCCCCCAGTTTCTTTCTCTCCCCTCTTCTCCCCTGTTTGCCAGGAGCCATCTGCGAAGGGAGGAGTCTAGCAGGGAGGAGCAGCTGTGCAGAGGCAGGAGGAGGGGTTGTAAACTCTCAGGCTTCAATCTTTCTGGTTCGGGCATTTTTGGTTTTAACCAAGTGCGAGAGAGAGACTGGATATTATCCCCGGCTCGCAGAGAGGTACGTGCCTGCTCTCTCAAGGCTATCCGCCGCTGGGAGGAATCCGCTTGGAAAGGGAAGGGAGAGCTGACTTTCCAAGGGGGTTATAAACAGCCCAGCCTGGGCTTCTCTTGCCAATTTAGGCACCCTCTTACACAACATGCTGGCCTCCCTGCAATGGAGGCTGTGCAGCTCCTAAACCTCTCTTACTTCATTCTGCTGCTCTGTAGCGTTTTCCTCTGAGCAGTGGAAAGGAGGGAACTTGCTCCCCTACTGATTTGGCCGTAGAAGACGGGCACCTTTGATCCATGGGAGAATGTTCCAGGAAGACAGATCTGGGTTTCCTTGGCCAGTGTTTTTCTCCCCTCGTGTCTCGGTGGAGTGTGGGTTTCTACTAGTCCTAACAGGCCTGCCCCATTAAAGCAAAATGGGAAGAGAGGGGAGTAAATTGTTAAAGGAACAATCATTTTCTGGTTTAGGATTAATATATCAACCTAGACGGCATCTGTGGAAAGAGGCGTCTACTTGTCTCCTACCTCTAAAGAGGGGAATAAAAAAGGAGAGGGGGTAAGTGACTGGTTTAATGCTAGACTCGGGGTTGCCGTCTCTTCCCGGGGCTGATCCCAGGGATTTTCATCCACTCCTTTATCACGGAAGGCTGTCAAGTCCCGTGTCTGGTCCGTCAATCTTGTGTGTCCTTTGCAGTGCGGTGTATGTTGAGACCATAAGGGAGCTCAAGTGCGTTTGGTGTCCAGTGGCAGTGCACCCTGAGTGAGTTTTTAAAAGCTGCTTAAGAGATTTAGGTGCCCTGATTGGTGAGACTTTGGGAGCCTAATGTCTGCAGTGACAACCCCCAGCTCCTGTTCCTTTCTCTCCCAACCTGAGGACACGGATGGGAGCTTCCTTCCTGTGTCAGTTCATCTCTTCGGATGTAGCCCAGGCCTCTGGAGTATTTTGGTGGATTGTGGATAAGAAATGCAAACCCAAGAGTCGTTGAGCAGCTGGGGTGGCTGGTAGTAGGATGGCTAAAAGCCCTTCATCCACTTGCCAATCTGATGCAGTAGAGCCTGTGGGGTTATAGAAGAACCCGCCAATGCTATGGCAGGAACAAGGCCAAAATGCCTCGTCGTCTGTTGGGTTGTTTGTTTTTTATCCGGTGGTGATTTGTCTTCTGATT